CCTTTGTTCCGGAACTCGAGGATGGTCCAGTTCCACTTCACCAACAAGGACCTGGAGTCCCTCAAAGGCCTGTACCGCATCATGGGCAACGGCTTTGTGAGTCCCGGGGCGTGAACTCGGTCTTCCTCCCTCAGACCCACGGCAGCCGGCGCTGATGCCCCCAGCCCGCACACTAGTCCTTCCAGGGCCCTGATGCCCCCAGCCCGCACACTAGTCCTTCCAGGGCTTTGACTTTCTTAATAATGAGAACATGCTCCAGAGGGAGCTGCATCTCACGTGGTGAAAGTGGCCAGGACTGGCCAGGCGCCCTCAGATTCTGACCGGGGCTCATGGGCTAGGGCCACTTAATAAGGACAGGTCCAGTGGGTGAGGACTTCGTGTCTGCTGGGCACTTCTCCAGAAGGGACCCTGGTGGAAACCCGACAAAGGTGTCTGAGAGCTCATAGTGCCCTTGGCTGTGAGTAACACAGAGTCAAGCCCAACAGCAGGGCTTCAGGACAGAGAACTGGGGTGGGGACGGAAAGAGAACAACTTATGTCTCTCAGGGTTCTGTGGGGCTTGGTCCTCACAAGTAGACTTCACGGGGTTGTCACGAAGGTGGCAGCCAAGACCATGGTCCTTAGAAAGATTGACTAGGGCTGGATGTTTCAAACGGTCCACTCACAGGGTAGCCATTGGTGCTGGCCAGCAGCTGGGGCCTCAGCTGGGACCATCACCCTCAGCGCCGACACACAGCCTCCCCGTGTAGCTTGGGCTTTCTCCTGGCATGGCAGCTGGATTGTGAGAGCGTGCGTCCTGGGCACAGCATTCTATGAGCAGGCATTTGCTTTTGAACCACACCAGTATGTCCAGTGGTGGTAAGGTGGCTGTCCCAGGTCGGGCGTCCTGTGTGCTTTGCTGTCGGAAGGCGAGGGGAGGAGCCTTGAGCTTCCCTTCAGGAAAGCAGGTCTCCCGCAGCCCGCAGTAGGTCTCCCCTTCACCTCTTTGGCCAGATCTGGGTTGCCGAGTCACCCCTAGTTGTAAAGGTAGGGGGCAGCCAGCCCTGAGTGGACTAGGGCCTGAATGTTGCCCTGAGACAACTGGGCTAATGTGGACTGGAGAGAAGGGTCAGTTTATGTGGGGTAGGCGGCTAGCCGTGTCCGCCTCAGATGAGGAGACCAAGGCCCAGAGGTGACGTCATCCGGCCAAGACCCCACCTTAGCTCCTCCTTCCTCAAGGGCCTGTTCTCATTGCGTCCCCATGGGGATCAGTCAGGTTTCGCCCCAGGGCCCTGTGATGTGGTGCTGCCCACGGTTCACACGGAGGCTGATGAGCCGGGCCACCCCCACAGGTCTCTCGGGTCCCCCTGGGTCAGTGAGAGCACCCCCATCACTGAGGACCACACGCCTGATGGTGGTGGGCTCTGTGTCTAAGTCCCCAGCAGCCAGTGTTGGGGGCAGTGTGGTGTGTTGTATAGATGAGGAAACGCGACCCATGAGGTAGAGGTGGTCGTTAGTCTTGTGGGTACTAAGTTGAAGAGCCCGGATTCAGCCCACGTGTGGGGGCTCTGCATTGTGGTCTCCCTCCCTGCAGAGGGCGAGCATTCCTGCCCTGACCCTTTGGGCACCCAGCGCCCTTTGAGCCCCTCAGTTTCTGTTTCTGGAGCAGCCTCAAGCAAACTCTCCTCTGCCTTTCGGAGCAGAAACCCTGCCCCCCCTCGTCTGTGGGGCTTCTGGAACCTTCTGAGGTGGGGTGGGGAGGGCTGGGATCTGCCTCCTCCAGGCTGTGAGGAGTCTGAAGAGCCCCTCCCCCCCAGGCGGGCTGCGTGCACTTCCCCCACACGGCCCCCTGCGAGGTGCGGGTGCTCATGCTCCTGTACTCGTCCAAGAAGAAGATCTTCATGGGCCTCATCCCCTACGACCAGAGCGGCTTCGTCAACGGCATTCGCCAGGTCATCACCAACCACAAGCAGGTCCAGCAGCAGAAGCTGGAGCAGCAGCGAGGGGTGAGTGGCGCTGGAGCCCAGGGTTCAGGCCGCAAGATGCCCGAGCCCCTTGTGGCTGGCTGCCCAGCACCAGCCGGGGCCCCCGGGTTCAGCCCCCCAAGACCTGTGACTGTGGGTGCACTTCCTGTGCTTGCCCCCCTTTTAGCCTCAAGACGGCTTTCTCCTCCAGAAACCATTCCCTGTCAGGCTCACACCCTCCCGTGCTCAGATTCAAAGCACCCCGATCTCTGACTGCCTCCTCTCTCCCACACAGATGGGGGGACAGCAGGCACCCCCAGGACTGGGTCCCATGCTAGAGGACCAAGCGAGGCCCACCCAGAATCTGGTGAGCCCCCAGGGCTGGCAGAGCCCAGGGCGGGGGGTGCGGCCCTGAGGCCCCCGACACCCTGGCCGCCTCTGTCTAGGGCCCCGTGGGCTCTGCCTCTCCCTCTCACCCCTCTCTCCCTCCGTCTAGCTTCAGCTCCGCCCACCACAGTCCCAGCCGCAGAGTGCCGTGGGGGCCTCAGGGGCGGCAGGGCAGCCTCAGCCTCAGGGTGCTGCCCAGGCTCCCCCAGGAGCCCCCCAGGGTCCTCCTGGAGCAGCCCCTGGCCCGCCCCCACCCGGCCAGATCCTTCGGCCCCAGAACCCTGGAGCCAATCCCCAGCTTCGAAGCCTTCTCCTGAACCCGGCACCGGTGAGCTTGGGGGGGGCAGGCGGGACCACGGGTTCTCGGGCCCAGAAGGCGGTCCTTCCAGCTGGGAGAAGGGTGGTGGTTAGGTTTGCTCAGTGAGGGGGTACTCTGCTGGGGCTCCAGCTGGACGGCCCCTTCCTGTTCATCTCACACTGGGCTTCCACGGAGGGCCCTTTGAAGAGACCCCCCCAAGCCCTGCTGGTGGTTCCTCTGAGTAGCGTCTGAGCCAGAGGCAGGGTAATGACAGGCTCCTACAGGGCAGCTGAGCACTCTCTTGTTTTTCTAGCCCCAGAGCGGGGTGCCCCCACCTCAGGCCTCCCTGCATCATCTCCAACCTCCAGGGGCCCCTGCTTTGCTGCCCCCACCACACCAGGGCCTGGGACAGCCCCAGCTGGGGCCACCCCTCCTGCACCCGCCACCCGCCCAGTCCTGGCCCACTCAGCTGCCCCCACGGGCTCCCCTGCCAGGTAAGAGGGCTCTGGACAGGGAGGGCTGGCTCTGCCCAGGGGCCCTGGGTTTGAGCACCAATGCCAAGGGGTCCTCGGGGAGAGGTCCAGTGATCCAAGAACAAGGGGTCCCCAGGGCCTTTGCAGGGCTCTCAGAGCCCATGGGACTGATGACCTAGGGGCAAGAGCACTTGCCATGACCCCTTCCTGACTGCATTCCTGGGGTCACCGGGAAACGTTGTCCCGGGACCAGAGCAGCAGTTCTGGGGAAGAACTTGCAAAGACTTATGGGAAACAGTGTATGTTTGGTCAGATGGGGTCAGGAGGTGCTTCCAAAGGGTTCCCTGGAGCTTCCTAGCAAACCCAGTGCCCTGGGCCAGAGGAGAAATGGGGAGGGCCTCTTGGGAGATGCAGTCCCTTCCCCACTACCTCCCAGGTCAGATGCTGCTGAGTGGGGGTCCCCGGGGCCCGGTCCCCCAGCCGGGCCTGCAGCCCAGCGTCATGGAGGACGACATCCTCATGGACCTCATCTGAACCCCCGACACCCAATAAAGTTCCTTTTAACACACGCCCCGGCTCCCGTCACTGACGTCCCCCAGGACTGGGCAGGAGGAGACGAGGGGGGCACACACCTCTGTCCTTGTTCTTGCCTCAGCAGACTTTGTGGAGGCTCTGGGTGGGTGGTTCGGTCTGGCTTGGGGAAGCACCCGCAGTGCAGGATGTAGGCAGTTAGATCACAGGGTAGGGCATGTACTGACGGAGGCAGCAGAGCCTCCTTGTAGCCTAGGAGAGGCATACCACCCAGCCGGGGCATCCTGGCAGGCTGCCTGCAGGAGGAGGTAACAACTCAGCCGAGTCTGGAAAGAGAAGTAGGAGGCAATGAGGCCAGGCAGGAGGCAGCTGGTGATGCAGGTACTGAGAACAGCGTGACTGACATGGTTATCAGAGGAGCTAGTGGGTTCTGTTTTTGGAGCCAGAGGTGGGGTTGGGGAGGTGGAGGTGGCCAGATCCTGAGGGGCTGTGATTGCCAGCTGAGTGGCTGATCCCAGGGAGGCTGAGACAAGAGGTCAGGTCAGGGTCAGCTCTCGGTGTCAGATTCCTCTAGGTTGTGGCCTGTGACAGGTCAGTGACAGTACAGCAGTGAGCTGAGAAGCCAGGGAGGGGCTGGGGCAGGCGTCCTGAAAGAGGAGGCCAGAGTCGGACCGAGCAGAGAGGAAGGCTGGGCAGGGTCAGGTCAGAGAGGTGGGCTGGGGCCCGGGCCAGTGTGAGAATAAAGTGGGCTGCGGGGATGGTAGAAGATGAGGTCTCTGTCAGTGTCCAGAGGGGCAGGAGAGGAGCAGGTGGTACGTGCTCGTGGTCCAAGGGGTGTCCCAGTGACAGGCACCACTGGGAGCTCAGGGCGTGTAGTTGGGGGACAGTGCATGTTCAGTAGTGAGACCACAGAAGTGGATGAGACGGACCTCTTAGGGCTCTGGACAAGGTGGACTGTGGGACCGTCCCCTGGGTGGAGAGCTTGTGGAGCAGGAAGAGCAGGTTTAGGACATGGGGAGACAGGGACCTGAGGGACCTCGCGGGAGAGATGCCCGGGGGCAGCCAGATGCAGAGGTGTGGCTTAATAAGGAGAGCAAGGTAGCTGCCTTTGACAGACCCTAGACCAGCGTTGCTCAGCAGGTGTGGGTCCCCCCGGACAACCTGCATCCAAACTGGTTGGGAAGCTGGTTGAAATTCATACTACTGGGCCCCCTCCTAGAAGAGAGGTTGCACTCTAGGGGCTGGGCGACAGATGAGTTTTGTTTGGCTTTCCCTGTGTTAGGAGACGTGGCGTTTTATTATTTTCCCTCATGAGTTAATTATAAAAATCAGGGTAACTCACGCATGCCAGGATAGTCCACGGTCTCGGAGTCTGTTGATGAGTCCGTTGACCTGGCCCTGGGCCCGACCCGCTGCCTGGCGACATCGGGCCGGAGCTGAGGCTCTGCGGCCCCTTCAGTTGGGGCGTGCGCTCTCCGGTTCGCCACAGTCCCCACCACTCCCTCTTGGCTCCCCCACAGTGAGGCAGAGGGTCCATTGCCATGAGTCACGGGGCTTGCGCTATGGGGCTCCCCCCCCCATGGTGGCGTTAAGAGGAAAGTGAAATCTCTCTTGTAACCATGTCTCTGTCAAAAGCGGCAAAAGGAAAGCGAGAAGGAGAGGGCCGCGTGTTTCGAAAGAAATGGGAGCGAGCCTATTTCTTTGTGGAGGTGAAGAGCATGCCCACGTGTCTAATATGCAAAAAAATCGTGTCTGTGTTGAAAGAATACAACCTGAGGCGCCACTATAAGTCCAAGCACAGCAAGAGCTATGACCAGTACACGGAGCAGACGCGCGACGCCGTCCTCAGCGAGCTGAAGAAGGGTCTCGAGTGTCAGTAGGCTTTCCTCAGAGCACGAAGAGGAGGTCTGTGCGTGCGGCTGGCAGGCACAGGGATGGGGTCACATGGCAAGAGTTCCTGGGCCTTCAAAGCTCCAGATGGTGAGGTTTACACAGGAGCAGGGCGACGCGTCCAGGGCAGAAACACACCCACTCTCTCAAATCTGACTGGCGTTTCGAGCAGCACGGTGAGTCGATGGATCCGAGGATTGACATGACCAGCTGCTTGGGATCGCCAAATCGACTGTGGCCTTTCCTCTCACTGCTGCTCGTGAACCATCACCACCCAGTTGGCTTTATTTATCAGTGACATTGATCGCTTCCGTGTGGACAAAGGACTTCACGACCCCTGGTGCCCAGGCAGGCCCAGCCCTGGGCAATGACTTCTTTTCTATGCACTGAGAGAAATGCAAAGTTTCACATAGGCCGGGCAGAGTTCCTAAGCACAACGGCAGATGGCCGTGATCATCTAGTGACCTGTGTCACGTGTCACTCTGGGACACGTCAGGATGCCTGGATCCAAGGTGACTGTGTTTCTGAGGACGCAGAATTCAGTCGTGTCGTTCACTGGGGATGGAATCGTTCTGAGAATTTAAACAGAACATCACAGCCATCACTCTCCCTTCACTCCTGGACTTTGACCACAGGTGGCTTGATGGTGAGCCCGGCCCGGTACATTTCACAGGAGCTCAGGGGCCTTGCTGTCCCGTGATGGCCTGGAGGGAGCCAGAACTCTAGAAATAAACTTACTTGGTTCCATTTCCAATAAGGAAAAAGACACACCTTGGCTCCCCTGAGGTCAGTCAGAGACTTTGGGTTGAGGTGACACCTTTTCTGAACACTGTTTCTCCACAAGGACATCCCCAAACAGCTACTTGAATGTATGGTTGTGTTTGCTCCATCTTGGAGAACATGGAGATGCCGTTGGCAAGGAACAAGTTGGCTCCCTTCCCTTTGCCGAAAATGGTGTCGAGAATGGCGGTGACGGCCTAGACCACATTCACCCACGTGGTGGAGCTGAAGGCTGAATCCCCCAGAAGGCTGTCTGCCTTCAGACTTGATGCAAATGAACCAACTCTGTCCAGTTGCCATTGGCCGTGGGAATGAACACCCCAAATCAGAGTTTTAGAACTGCAGTGCAGTAGGGTGTGGGCCCCTACACGTCAGATGTCCGCAAGTCACCCTTCTGCAACCCTGTCACATAGTTGTGGACAGCTGTTTTCCGTTAAGACACCAAATCTAATCCCACATGGCGCCCGGTTCAAGGTGGAGGTCTCGACTGCTCATGGCTCCCTGCCTTCCGGGCCCTGACCCTGACCTCTTCGGGTCGAAGGGAAGAGGTCAGCCTCTGGCTTCAAATCAACGGCATATACGCATTATTGCGAGAGAGATTTTTAATAATGAAATACTTCTATTTTTCAACTTGTATTTTTTCAATTTTGACTAAAATATAACCACCACCACCCACTCTCATACATGTTTGTATTCTGTTCACGGTTTAGTAAAGATGCGATTTGATGATATTTCTAGCAGTTGGTTTTTCTTATACCTGGTTCACTCATTTATGTGGCCCGCCTGGCCCCTGTAGGCATTTGAGTTCTCGTCCCTGCCCTCGTAGACCTGTTCACTGGGCACCTCGGGGAGGGAGGGCGGGTGCCTGGGAAGCTGGGTGTCCCACAGGCTCCCTGGATGGCCTTCGGGCTTAGAGGATGGAGTGGGTGCCTCTGACGGGAGGCAAGGAGGTGGACTTGGGCCCCAGGCAGCGTAAGCGGCAGGGGGTTTGCAGACTCGATGGCTCCAGGGACCAGGCAGGTGATGAAAATGTGTGAGCAGACGGGTGTAAGACAACAGGGAGTGGTGGGCACTGTGGCGAACTTGGAGAGTGCTGGCCCTGCCTAGTGGCGTTCAAATTGAGAACAAATAAAACAACACTGTGAGGACCAAACAAAACGTGTCTGTGGGTCGAACGAGGCCACGAGCCGCCATCTTGCGCCCTGTGGAAGGAGGAGGAGCTGGAGAGAGTAGGGGCACAGCCCTGAGGAAGGTGAGGGGCGGGCAGGTAGCCGAGGAGGACCCGGCAGGTGCGGTGTGTTGGAAGCTGCGGGGACCGGGGAGGACTGGGGATCGCGCCACTGGGGCCAGAGCTGCTGGGGGACAGATGAAGCAGCCACGGTGTCCCCACCAGGGTGGAAACCCCTTACAGGGAAACGCAGGTTGGTTTGAAACAAATCGATAGGAAAGAGATGTCTCCAGTTGCTGATTTCGTCTCCAGCCAGTGAGACCCGCTTGACCATGGGAGACACTGGGATGAACCACTTGGACCAGTGCTGTCCCATCACCACACATACCCACGGGCTGGGCAGGGGGCAGGCAGAAGGAATGCCTGGAAATGAGGAAAGATCTAGACACGAAGTCACTTCTGCTTTTCAGTCCAGGGAAACTGTCACATAGGGCTTCATGCACTTCTCCGGGAAGTGAGTCCCTGGCTGGTGGTAGGAACATGCTTGGCTGTTCGCCAAAAGGTTGGTGCTCCGAGTCCGTCCAGAGGTGCCTCAGAAAAATGCCTGGTGACCCATTCCTCAAAAATGGGCCATTGCCAACCGTGAGGAGCACAGTTCTACCCTGACCCGTGCGGCGGCTGAGTCGAGACCAACTCTGTGGCAGCGAGCTGTTCAGGAGAAGCCAGTACCAGCAGAGGTCTTCGGGGAAATTTTTCTGTGTGTGTTTCTGTAACAAAGCACTCGAGTGTGTGCTCTCGAGTCAATTCCAACGCATAGCAACCCTGTAGGAGAGTAGGGCTGGCCACAGGGCTTCCAAGGCTGTCAATATTTACGGAACCAGATAGCCCGGTCTTTCTCCCAAAGAGCAGCTGCTGGGTTTGAACTGCTGACCTTTCGGTGAACAGCCAAGCGTTCTGTCCACTGTGCCACCAGTGAAGCGTAATTGACTGGTTGGAAACCATTTTTGACCAAGTCACTTTGGGATCAGACGTTAGGAGCTGGAGACAAGCGACATCATGGAAGGAAGCAGCTCTAGCAAAAGTGGTAGAAACACCAGCACAGTTGGTCCCACAAAATGCCCACCACCCCCAGTGAAGATTGACAAGGGGCAGGCCACCTTCTCAA